CAATGAATTATCCGTTTTCTGTAGTTGAATAGAGAATTAAAGAGGCCATTGACTAGTATCTACAAATTGTCAGAATTATTTTCTCTATCAGTATTAAACAGTTTTTGTCTTGCCACTAAAATGGGGAACAAGGAGGGGGCTTTGAGTTAGTAGTAGTAATCTAGTTAACCTGGGGTTAAAATTTGTTGATGTGTGTGCTTGGATAATTGTACCTCTCTGTAAAGGAACGAGTTGCCAGCCTCTGTTGAATGTGGGGAAAGTGGATGTTCTTTACACAGGGACACGTGTTCTTTTTCTCCTTTCAGCACTGAACCTGCCAGATGTATTCGGGCTGGTAGTCCTTCCATTGGAGCTGAAACTACGGATCTTCCGGCTTCTGGACGTTCGTTCTGTCCTAGCTTTGTCTGCAGTTTGTCGTGACCTCTTTATTACATCAAATGACCAGCTTCTGTGGAGGTGTTTATATCTGCGGGACTTTCGAGGTGATTTCCATGATGACATGTTAACAAGAAAGGGCTCTTTCTTACTGAGGTCTCAGTTCTTTATTATTCAGCTTGCCAGAGTTTTTACTTATATAGGTTTCTTTTTTTAGGGTAGCAAATAATCATAACATATAGCCTATAGTAAAGAGATTCTAAGCTTCATAAACCTTTCCTGAAAACTCTCCTCAAATAGCCACTTAGGCTAAGTAGACTATCAGGATAGAAAAATGGAAGTGAGACAGGTTCATTCTCTCTCAACCATCCTCAGTGTCTGACTTAGAAATCCACTGCATTTCTAACTAATTCCATGGTTGTGACCAGAGTACAAGTTGAGAGAGTCTTGTTCTGCTGTGGCAGGCGTGTTGCTGGGAAGCTGTATCTCTGCATTGTCACATTTATGGTGACCTGGTCGTCATTGCAGCAGGGATGACGGTGGGACTTGGGGGCTGGGGAGAATTCTCCAAAATGTCAGTTTTAAAAAAAATATATATATATTTTATTGATTTTGTACAGAGAGGAAGGAAGAGAGAGAGCGAGTTAGAAACATCGATGAGAGAGAGTCATCGATCAGCTGCCTCTTGCACACCCCCTACTGGGGATGTGCCTGCAACCAAGGAACATGCCCTTGACCGGAATCGAACTGGGGGCCCTTCAGTCTCCAAGCCGATGCTCTATCCACTGAGCCAAACCGGTTTTGGCGAATTCTCCAAAATGTCACAGGTTTGCCAGATACAAGGCTGGAAGCCTGAGTGTGGAACTTCTTTCTGATCACCACCATTTTATTACCTATCAGTGTTTTCTTAAACTTTATTTTGACTCTGGGTAGGGGTCATTTTACAAAAAAGAAAGAAAAGTCAACAGCACTTTATAAAATAGGAGTTAACTTCTATTTTAGTTATATATGTAAATATAAAAAAATCTTAACACATGTTACAGTGTAAAATAAAAAAGTTTGAATGATGGTGCTATAAATGATAATGTACCACTCTAGTAAACATGTATGGGTAAGTTCCCCTGCTTCCTCTTTTTTTTTTTTTTTTTTTTTTTTAAATTGAAAGCATCATGTAGAGTCATTTGGATTGTCAAAAAGTTTTTTTCTTTAAAATTGTGGAAAGTGCAAATGACATGGTTTTTCCTTCTTGATTCCTGAGGACATTATTCTTTATTTCTGCTCCTGAATCCAAAATTTAAAATGTTATTTGTCCCTAAAGGCAGGAAATGTCACCTCAGAAATCTAAAAAATTACAGTCAAAATGAAAAGACAAAATGGCAACATATATGAAAGATCCAACCCAAGAAAAGCAGGCTATGATAAAAATATCCATGAAAGGAACAGAAACATTTTACTTATATATTTGAGTTCAGGCTTAAAATACAACCAGTCTCTACCTCATTTTCAGATTGTGGTTCATAGCTTGTTTGTAAGCTGAGCGGTCCTATTTTTTTCATGAATTCCCTTGTAAATACAATGTTATAGGACTGGAGCTTTTATAACTTTTTCTTCCATGCCAATGTAATAACTTATAGGGAACACATCATTGTCTTTTATCCAAACTCTTCACTAAACTTAAAGGAATTCTTTTCCTCATTTCACTGATTTTAAGAAAGTACACTGAAAATTACTTAGTTGCCATATTTCTTTTTCTTTTTTAAAAAAATATATTTTATTGATTTTTTACAGTGAGGAAAGTAGAGGGATAGAGAATTAGAAACATCGATGAGAGAGAATCATTGAACAGCTGCCTCTTGCACATCCCACACTGGGGATGTGCCTGCAACCAAGGTACATGCCCTTGACTGGAATCGAACCCGGGACCTTTCAGTCCGCAGACCAACGCTCTACCACTGAGCCAAACTGGTTTCGGCTGTTGTCATATTTCTGAGAGCTGACTCATTCAGAACATGTTTGGGAGAAGACCTAACCCAATTATGGAAGTAAACCTTATCAGCTTGACCTCCGGCAGTGACCATGAGCTATAATACAGGCGCTCAGAGGTTGTCATGTGGTTTAGTGTGACGTGAGACTTGGGGTCAGCAGCAGCTGACGCACTAGATGGAGTTGAGGGAGACGGTGTAGTGTGGGACAGTCAGCACAGGAGAGATCAGCCGTGTAGCCCTCTGCATCCCTGACGGAGTCACTGCATTGAGCCACGTAGCACAGAACAGTGCAGACTGCCCTCAGCCATCCAGAGAGGATCTGAGTGAGGTTCAAGAAAGTATAAATGGAATTGTGTGTGCTAAACCAATGAGTCACGTTCCTTTTTCTGCTTAATGAGGATGCTTCCATTTCCTTAGGACAGAAGCAAACTTGCTGTTTCATGCTGGGTGGATGAAGCATTTTAAACCCTTTTTGTTTTTCCTTTGTAGATGGTACAGTTAGAGTTCCAGACACAGATTGGAAAGAAGTAAGTGTTCGTAAATATCAAAGGCTAATGTTCCCAACACAGAAATCACTAGCGGATTAGTTACATTATGGGCAGTTTTCACTTTTTTATGATGTAATCTGTTTTCATTAGAAGATTTTTTAAGTGAACTGCTTTGTGCTAAAATAGAGCATTAAGAAAAGAAAAAGTGATGTTATTTACTAATGTCTACTATAAAAGACATTGCTTAGAATTGAGAAAAACTTGGGAAGGACTAGAGAAGAATAAAATTCAATTAAAGTATTCAGATATGTACAAAATATGTTCCATCCTCTAAAACGGGCATCTATTTTACGTTCTTGTTTAAATTGAGATCTATTAGGGACAAAATTTAAGTGAAAAATAGAATTTAGGTGGTGTCCCCTCACTCCTCAACACCTTTATATTTTATGGCATGATACTTTCAGCCAATATTTAACTTTGCTACCTTTAAAAAAGGCTGACTTAAAATTGCATGTTAGCTTGAGCACTCTGGGTTGCAGTCTTGAAAGTACTTGCCACTCAGTTCTCCTCCCCTGGATTTATTGTTGCTCCAGGTTGGCACAGTTGCTTGGTTGCAGTGTGGTTAAAGATTAGGGCTCATCTGTATTGTATTCAGAGCCACTGCCTTATTCCCTCACAAAGAAATGGTGAAAGTTCGTTTCTGTGCACTGGTTTCTTGGTCTGCTGCGATAGTGTGGGAAAAGGAAGGGTCAGATTTGTACACTGAGAGCAAGTTGGAACTCTGGGGAGACATCCCAACCACTTACCGGATCCTGTTCTTGTTTTTCGTCAGTTGTACAAGAAGAAGCACAAACAAAGAAAAGAAGCTCAGAAGGTTCGGCATGTGATGTTCCTGCCACCGTCGTCACCCCACCCCAACCCCTTCTATCCCAACCCCTTCCACCCTGGGCCTTTCCCTCCCAGCTCACTCCTTCCTCCAGGGATTATCGGTGGTGAATATGATGAAAGACTAACACTTCCCTATGTTGGGAACCCAATCAATTCACTCATCCCTGGGCCTGCGGCGGCACCCGGCCCGTTCCCTCCACTCAGACCACGTTTTGATCCAATCGGCCCACTTCCAGGACCTAACCCCATCCTGCCAGGGCGAGGTGGCCCCAATGACAGGTTTCCCTTCAGACCCAGCAGGGGTCGGCCAACTGATAGCCGGCTACCATTCATGTGATGGACTTGCAACCCACTCTGGAGCTTGTTTGGTTTGGTTCCTTAAAACTACAGCTATCATCTTGTTGGGTTGTTGACCTCTAGTGTTTTCCGATTGGCCGTCAGGAATGTACTCACACAAGCCTTTCAGTAGATGTATTTAAAGCTCCAAGGGTGGTGTGGCCCAAAGGTTACTTCATGACAAGGTTGGCCTTGGGAATAGTTGGCTACTGACTTCCCTCCGAACTCCCCTCTAGAATGAAGGTTGTTCATCGATGATGTTCTGTACCAGATTTTTAAAAATTAACTATAAATTGCATGGCAGTCTCGACTTTTATTACCGAAAGATACGTAATAAATATTCAGAACAGCTTTACAACATTACTTGGACAATTAAAAATGATCAGAGAACCTATTCAGTGTCATCAGATTGTTGCAGAGGATTTTAAACATTTTAATGGCCCCTTTTTTCAAATGAAATAATTTGCAGAAGCTGATTTATAAAACGACTAAAGCAGAGCTAGTTTGGTTGAACTGGATTTTGGACACCCACCAGCTCAATCCACCTCCTCCCTGGCCCTGAAGCTCTTGCTCGGAGTGTGGGGTGAACTGGGCTGTGCAGCAGCATGGTGGGTGGCCATGGGATTATAGGGACTCGGAGTGTGGGGTGAACTTCTGGGCTCTGTGACAGTATGTGGGCGGCCATGGGATTATAGGGACTCGGAGTGTGGGGTGAACTTCTGGGCTCTGTGGCAGCATGTGGGCGGCCATGGGATTATTGGGAATCTTGTTTTGTTTGGGGCTTCTTCGGGAGTGGAATTATGATTTTTTTCCTCTTGTGTTTTGAACACTTGGTGCCTAATTTGTAATCTAACTAGATGACCTCTTTTGACACAAAGTTTTACTGCTTTGAATTCTGGTCAGGTACTTGTTTTTCAAAGATAGACTCTTATTTGAAGAACATTTATTTTTTTAAGAGTTAAAATACACAAAATTTAAGGTTTTTTCCTACAAGAAAAAGGCCAAACAGAAATGTCTTATAATACAATCAACTGTGAAACATGCTATAGTGACAAAATATGAATCACAACACAGGAACTGAACAATACTAGTATCTACAGAAAGTATTTTGGAATATTGCCAACTGTCTTCCTGATTTTAAAAATCTGTTTTGCATATAAGGAAATGGTTTGAAGTGTTATGTGCTGCAAGAATACTTTGAGTCCTACATACATGTGAAAATATTTTATGTTTTGCTACACATAATAGTGCCTTTTTTTTTTTTTTCTTCCCCCCATCACAGTGAAGAACATTCAGTCACTAATGCAATTATCCAGAGCTTAATGTGTAGGCAAAGGATTGGGGCTGTTGACATTTCCATGATATTGAGCAATGGTAGCTCTAGGACAAGCTTTTTAAAAGTAAGTGTCAACTGGATGCCATATGGCTTTAATTGGATCTGGGTTAAAAGAGTCACCTTGAAGCATTGATGGGTCCAAATATACCCTAGTTCTCCTCTCTGCGCCCTTGTGATGTCAGGTTGCACGTGGCGTGTATGTGTGTAGCAGGTGTAGGAGGACATAGTGAAGCACCAGATACTACAAAACAATGAGTTCTCCAGATCCAGAGTTCTTGAATGGTCCTTGAGAGGCCTGTGCCAGTGCCCACGTCCCACAGAGATGGTGCTGCTTTCCAGCCTCACCTGGCCTCGCTGGCCCGAGGTACAGCCTTTCTGTTTAGGTATGGGCAGTGCGCCATATGCCTAAATCGGCAGTCCTCTCACAATAGTTTATTCTTAAAACAACTCTCAAAGCTTTTCCTCTTGAATAGCTAAACTTATAGTTAGAAGCTTGTAAAATCTATGTTCTTTTCATTAGCCTGGGCTATTGAGCTTTATATATTGCTGGTGTGTAATGAGAAGGAAATCACGGTTTGGCGGTAGCCCAGTCCCTGGTTTTCTGACATCGCTTTGATATAGTGTAATGGAAACAAGACAGTGCAGAGTGCTGCGGTTACACGTTTTAGTAAGATGCTGTTCTATATCATTGGCTTGTGGTCTTATGACTTTCCGTGACCCCTTATTTTCCCCTTTAGTTATTTTTAACAGGAGCTTGCTCCCCTCGCACCCCCTTCTTTGTTCACAGATGGAAGATACGGTTTGGCATGACTGGAAATCGATCATGGGATGTATGCTCTCTTTCCAGCTTAAGATTTTATAATTCCTTAAGGAAAACAGTTGAGTTCTGCCCTCTTACTCTTGCCTCTAATTCCTGAGATCACGGCTTAGCCTGATATCTCTCATTCTTATTCTGACAGAGCTGGACACTTCCCTTTGCTCCCTACACTCAGGGCCCAGTGTCCAGGTTTGCCTTCCTCCTGCCCTGGGCAGCCCCCGGGAGACACTGGAAGGTCCCACTTCTCTGCTGGGCTGTAAGCATGGTTCATGCTCCTTCATGATCTCCAGCTGACTAGAGTACTAGGTAAGTCACCTGAAATAAAGATTTAATCTTAATGTCTCCTGGCATTTCCCAATAGGTCCCGGCACTTAAATTTCTGCTATTCCATACTGAAATAATGAGAGGCAAGACAGTGTTAACTTTCTTCTCTAGACTCTGAAAGACCATGAAGAGTAGATACATAAAATATGAATTTGGAAATTGAAATTAAAACTGGGAGGGCCAATCAATAAAATCGGAGGGTATTTAAGATTGTAAAGGATGGACACGTTGTGGGAGGGGCGTTCACTTGTGGATTGGTTTCCCTTAAGGAATGCCTATTTCCAGCCATGTCCCTCTCTTCTTGGCCTGCTGCTTGAGAGCCCTGGGCACAGGACTAGTGCCGAGATGTCATCAGCGTGGCTGCATGTTTGCCTGGAAACGAAGCTTCTATGCCTGTGTGCATGCATTGTGTTGGATTGATGAACTGATTTGACTTGCTTTTTGCCTAATCTTCCACTTGGTCTCTGACTAAACCCACAAGTGCCGCCTTCTCTGAGAACCTAAATATTAGTGAACACTGAATTGAATCAGTGGCTGCTTAGGAGTCAAAGATAGCTTTGACACTTGCTAGGACAGTTAGTAACCAGCCAGCCTGCACGCCAGGAGAAAACATTTGGAACGTGTGGTAGTGCTCCTAGGCCATGGGCTCTTCCTCCAGTAGAAATCCTGGCATTATCTGCAATGCCGCTTTAACCAGCTCAAACTCTCAAACAGAATGAGCTACCACCTGCTGCCCCAACGCAGGGAAGGGAGGGGCTCCAAAAGCACTGCCTGCGGGAGGCGCCAGGGGGCGCTGCTGTGGAAAGCTCTGCCCTGCTGTGGGCCTCTGCGCAGGGAGTGGTCAGGATGGGAGTCCAGGTCCTGGGTCTTCTCTGCAAACTGGTGTCCTGGTCTGCTCGCCCCAGTCTCTTCTGACTGATGCTGACAGTGGCACCTCATTCTCACCTCTTTGGGCTGTGCTCACCAGGGGGTGGCCTTGTGGCCCCTGAGCTGTTTGCTCCCATTCCTTTTCAGACTCAGTTTAGAGTCTGCAACCTCTTCCTGAGGGTAAAAAACTGCCATAGATTTTCTTTAGCTTATCTCAGTTTACTAATCGCTCTGTTGGTTTGATTCTGTTCCTGGGCAAATGACTTCCTCACGTTGATACACTTAGAAATGAGACCTTTCCTTCAGCCTTATTTTTTTATTTTTATTTTTTACATTTTATTAATTCCAACCTGAACATGTCCTGACCACCTACTGTGTCAAGCAGCGCTCTGTGTTTCATTCACCTAGTTGTTCACAAGGTACCTACACTAGCTTGCTTTCTCCTTGTACACCATTCGTAGCAAATTCAAGTGAGAACTGCCAGCAGGTGGTTATGTCTGGGCTCTTGGGGTTTGCTATTGTATTTGTTACCGAGTGTGAAGGCCTGTCTCCCTGAAATGTTGGAGAGGTAGAACTAAGTACCCCTGAGCAGGATCGGAAGGTTGGAGTGAATGTTGTAAGACAGAGAGAACACAGGGAATTAATGGAGGAGAAACGGTGTGCAGTCTGTGTCTGTGGAAAGCTGACTGGGCACTTAATTAAACAGCAGGACTTTTCGCACACTGTGAGGACAGTCTGGAAGAAGGTGTTTTGTCTGGCTGGCGGAGTGGTCTGTGGAGGCTGTGTTTAAATCCCTGCTCCTTGTGCTACACTTTATCACACACAACACACATGCGTCTGGCATGTTTCAGCCTCACCAAGTCAGCCTGGAGGGGGAATGTGAGTTTTTTTTTGGATCAAAGCGGTGAAACAAAGCCAGCCGACCAACAAATGACCTTTTAGAATTGCCCCCGTGACTCCCCTCGCCCCTGCTTTTTGTCCTTCCCCATTTAAAAAAATTCAATCAGTTATTGAAGTTAGAAGTGAGAGAACAGTCCATTTGGGGGGCTCTCTGGTCTCCACAAGACCCTTGTTGATCTCGACTTCCATACACAGACCAGCGGGAAACTTAGGTGTTGGTTATAAACTAGTGCTGTGCCATGGATCATCTGTGCATGGCTGTACGTCAGAATGCTACTCTACTTGTACTATCTGGGAGATAGAGTTTGAACATTGAGATGTTTTTATGGACAAGGGACAGAATAAAGGAAAATGGGGAAATTAAGCCATATAGTCATTGTTTATGAAGCCACTAATTTTGCTCACCGAGAGTGGAATGAATGAATGAATTCCACCCAATATAGCTTCCTATAGCAGCTTTCCCAGACGCCTCAGCTCAGGGTGCCAGTCCAACTCCCACAAGCACGCAGGAAGAGGACAAAGCGAGGTTTGGGTCTCATGACCAGAAATCCTGGCTCGCTGGTCTGAGGTGAAGCTAGCTGTGCACACAGCCATGGCCCACACTTAGAGAAACAAACCTAGTGCCCCTTTGCTGTGTGTTTCAAGCTGTATTTTATTACTGAGAAGCGGGTGAGATTGACTCCTTTCAATCTTAATCTTTGTACAAGCGTGATGATTGCTTATACAGGTATTTTCTGTTTTTAAGCCAAAATGGTGGGCTTTTCGGTGTTACACCTGCCCTCAGGTTTTCCCTCGCTCTTTCACTCAGAATGCAGGTCTAGGCCACGGGCACTTTCATTTTTACCTCCTCTGTCCCTTCCCTGTGAACAGCAAGGGGAAGACAGGTTTCAAGTCACAAAGGGGATTGGGAAGGGATCACATGGCTCTGTTCTGGCCCGGGAGGCTGGCTCTGACACCTACAGTGTTTCTAGCACCAGGCGCTTGTGATGTGGGACAGCCCTGCTCCGTGGTCACTGGAGGCCATGTGCTCTGCGGGAAGGAGCCCAAGAAGGGCGTCAGGGCCGCGTTCTCCAGCTCTGCAGTCAGCTTGTCCAAACAGGTTTGGGTTCAACACAGCTAAACCTAATGTCTTCACATAGGAATTCCAAGTTGTTGACATGTAAGGTGTATGACCAACCTCAAAAAGAGCAATAGAGACAGTGTTTCCCCAACATGTTTGGCCATGGGACCCTTTTGTAATGGAGTAGCCTGCCAGCATCTTGCTGTGCAGTTTGTGAAATGCCGACTAGAGGTTACTATCCTCCCAACTTTCTGAGCCTGTGATGTTAACCTGATTCTCTCTGGTTCCTCAGAAGTCCTTGAGGAGTAAACAACATTCCTGGAGGGAATTCAGAGAGAATTCCTGGCGGTACACAAGTAATAGTGGGTGGGGAAGCCCTAAGCTAACTCCTCAGGAAGCTGAGGGCGATGGCCTCTGGGAACCAAAAACTCTTCTTGAAAGGACCTGTGGGCTGCTCTTGGCTGTCCATTCCGCTGGGAGCAGCATCCCCACCGTCTCCTGCTGGTCTCTGCTGTGGTTTGAAAGGCCCCACGTGACTCACAGGACCTGGTTTCTTGCCGTTGTTATCAAGATCCCACCAGGGCCTGGCCAGTCATGATGTCTGCAAGTCAGGTGAGGTCTCCAGATGAAACTAGCATGGTAGATGAGAGGTTCCGCTGGCCCGGTTTGTCTCCTTTTGTTTGCAAAACACTGTCAATAGTTTATTGCCTCCTGTACTGCTGAGGTCCTACTACAGTGTCTTCATTTGATGGAGGTGGGCAAGGCCTAGAGGGGGCTTTTGCCCAAAGGCAAGCAAAAAACACTAACGAGATGTGAAAAACTAGCCACACACAGACATCTCACTTGGGTATCTGTGGCAGGGAAGCAAGCATCCAGGGCGGGGGGTGGAGGGGTGGGGGTGAGGGAGACAGGTGATGGACGCCCACCATTAAGGCCCATTTTGAGGAACCTGGAGGCTCTCAAAGGCCCAGTCTCAGCCGGACAAAGCTGGAATGTCATGAAGAAGGGAAGGGGACAAGTATAGATACTCAGTTCCTGGGTCAGAGGCATTAGAAAGTATGTTCTCAGGCCCTCCATTCTGTTCCCCTCAGAAACTAAGGCTGAGAAGGAAGATGAGGTGGGAGAGGGAGAGTGTAACAGCACCCCCTCCCAGGCTGGACCCCGTTAGTCAGAGAACAGGCTGGCAAAAGACTTCCTCAGGTTGCGGATGGTTTCGGCCTTGGCCTCGTCTTCGCTTGGAGTTCCACGCTGGGAAGTGTCCGATGTGCTGAGGCTATTAGTCAAGGACTGGGATTTGCTGAAACAAAGGCAAGGGAGTTTGGGGGTGACCAGGCATAGGCTCCTGTGATTGCCTCGGCAATCATCACACTTATACATCCCATGCCTGGAAGCCAGGTGGGTGAGCCCATTATCACAAAAATATTAAGACCAGAGACCAGGCATTCCAAGGCTTGTGTGATCCTGGATATGTCACCCACATGACTTAACATAAAAGATGGTTACTGGTAGCCTGTTTTCAGGTACAGAAGTTGGGGCTCACAGCCAGTGACCATAGCACCGGAGGCTCACTATGCCCACCAGCTCAGACAGCAGGTGTCTCCAGACAGTTTCACTGCTCTCCACCTGTGTGCAGACCCACCTGGCAAACTTTAAAGTGCCGTCTCCACCCAGGCTGTGGTGCTCCTCTATACTTCCCAGCACTTTGGGAATCGGGAGGCCTGTGTCTCCAGGATTCCATTCTCATCTCATCCCTGAAGCCCTCACTGATTCCAGCCCCCTTTGAAATTCTGGTGCTTCCTGCTGGAGCTTGTGAGAATTAAAAACAAAACACCCAACCAGGTAAAATGCTCGGCACATACTAAGTAGGTAGTCGATACTAGTGTCAAACTATGATAATATTAGTGTTTGGAGTTGAAGGGAACCACTTTCCAAAAGACCCCCACATTTGGAGTCTCTTTCTAACCTCAAACCAAGAGATGGGCTTGAGAGGGAATGCACAGTGTACTGTGATGGAGAAACTATGGCACAGATTCTTATCCCTGCTACCCACCCTTCTACCCTGTGACTTGTAGGTCTTCCCATCAAGAGCCTGCTTTGCTGCCTCTGAGTCCAGGCTTGGCCATGCAACTGGCCTTGACCAACAGCAGGGGGTGGAATGAAAAGACACAGTGAAGCTTCTAAGATTGCATCTCAAGAGGCCTTGAGCTCCTTGTGCCCTTTTGGATTGTAATTCTACCTTACGAGGAAGCTCAGCCCAACCACTGGAGGCCCAGCTGGCAGCCAGTGCCAACCAGCAGGTGCCAGATGTGTGCATGAGGCCCCAGTGACCGTCCAGCCCCGGTGACGCTGTCAGATGCATGCAGCATTATGAGTGATCCCAAGGGCTAAAGTTGCTAGATTTAGTAAACAAAAACATAGGCTTATATCTGAATTTCAGATGAAAAACAAATACTTTTTTAGTATAGTTACATCCCATGCAATATGTGAGGGCATACATATACTCAAGATTACTCATGGTTTATCTGAAATTCAAATCTAACTGCGCATCCTATATTTTATCTGGCACTCTCCAGGAGGCACCTGCAGAAGAACCTCCCAGCTGAGCCAAACTCCGAACAAACTGCTGAACTGAGAAATTATGAATCAAGAAATGGTTTTACCTTAAGCTTCTAAGTTTTGGGTGGCTTGTTATGCAGCATGAGGGAACAAATACGTGTATATATCTGAAGGGTCATGGTAGGGCCTAATCTATACTCTCACCTTGCAGGGCCCTTCCTGCCCCTCACGTTCCATCCTCTAGGCCTCCTCCTCCTCATTTCAAGTCTGGGTGAGGCCTCCTGTGTCTTCCTTTGTCTGAGTCCCTCCCACACCACAACCCCTCCCCCCCCAATACCCTTCCAGATCAGAGGTACTTACTTGAGATGGGGGTGGGGTGGGGCTGGCTTCCCGGACTCTTCGCCCTGTTGGGAGGTGCTGCGGCCTTGCACAGGGGGGCGGGGCTGTGAGGGGAGGGTGGCGCCTGGCTTGGAGGCCTGGTTGGGAGAGCCGCTGCTGGATGCCCGGGGCAGCTGTGGAGAACCCGGTGATCTCTGCTGCTGTGGGGATCCCGACTGGGGGCTCAGGGGCTGCTGGCCTTGTGGGGAGAGCCTCTGCTGGGAGGGGCTTCCAGATCTCGAGGGCTGAGGAGACTGAGCTTGGCGAGGGCCCCCTACAGGGTACAAAAGTTATTGCATTCAAATTTTTCTTAGGATAACATGGCTGTGCACAAATGCTGCTTCAAGGACGGGCATTTCAAGTTGTTGTTGTTTTTAATAACAGTAAAAAGTGGAAAACAACATAAATGCCTAGCTGATTAGGAACAGTAAGAGACATCCATATGATGGAATATTCTCTGGTCATAATATATGATGTTACAGATAATATGACATTAAATAGGATACTGTTGATACATGCTAAATAAATACTGTTAAGCTGAACAAGCAGCTGATTACACATTACATTCAGTTTTATTCAATTTATATATATATATATATATATATATATATATATATATATATATATATATATATGGCTATGTAAAAAAGAAAGATGGGACGGTTAAACACTAAAACCAGTGTGACTCAAGCCTTAATGTGTGTATGAATTACTGGAGGGATCTTGTCAAAATAAAGATTCTGATACAGTAGGTCAGACTGACACTGAACTGTGTCCCCTCCAAACTCGATGTGACTGTTTTTGGAGATAGGGACTTCAAAGGAGGTAATTATTGTTAAATGAGGCCCTAAGGGTGGGGCCCTAACCCAACAGGATTGGTGTCCTTCTAAGAAGAGACACACAGGAAAGGCCATGTAAAGACACAGTGAGAAGGCCGCTGTCTCCAAGCTGTGGAGAGAAGTTTCAACCCTGTGGGCACCTTGGCCTTGGACTTCAGCCTTCAGCTGTGAGGAAATACGGTCTGCTGTTAAAGCCACTTAGTTTCGGGTATGCAGACTCTGTTATGGCAGCCGAGCCGACTGAGCAGGCGGGGTCTGTGATTACAAACGTGCTGGGGTTGTGGAGAAGTTTAATTCTCTTTCTTTGCTCACCGATATTTTCCCCACTGAAGATGGATTACTTTGGAAACAATGAAAATAATTATCCCTTACTTTTTGAACAGCTCTCTCCACTTTCCCAAGGACTTTCAAAAGCAATGTATCATTTGCTCTAGGGAGGCTGCCATTATTATTTTCATTATTATTTTTTAACAGAACAAGTCTTTTCTTTACTCAAAAAAGGTTGTTAAAATTTAGTTGAGTCTGTGCTTGTGCCTTTAACACTTGGATGATTTTCTGCTCCTCACTAAGGAAAGCATGCCTGCCCCGCTCCCCTGTCCCCTGTTGGGGACACACTTATCACATGGGTCCACAGTAGGCCTGGCTGACATGTTTTTCATGTTAGACAAATTCAACCACAGGTTACATCTTACAGCACGAATTTCCTGGAGTTGTCTGGGCACAGGCCACATGCAGACGGCTATTTCCCAACCTTTTCGGTAGGCAGGTGAACAATTCTGTTACCGGGGGGCATGGGCGTCTAATTTTGTCAGAGGCTGTATTGCAACACAGCCTCTGTCAGAATGTGGACACTGGACCACTGTGAATGCCTGCAGCTGCCATCCCATTCTCACCCCATCCAGGTGGAAACCGAGCCTCATTAGGTGTCATAGCTGGAAGGAGTAGCCACAGAGCTCACAGGGAATCCTGACTTCTCCCTGTCATCCTGTCACTGTACGGAGCATACAGTCACCTACAATCTGGGGGACAACCCAGGCCAGTGAGCTGCACTCTCCTCACCTCCAGTCCGGGCGTCAGGGCCACTGTGTGTCCTGGCTACCTGCTGCTCCTCTGCCAGGCTCTGCCTGCTCTGGGAGAGGGCTGCCCCGTGGTGATGCTCACCATGCTTTGTGAGGGCAGGAGCAGAGAGTTAAAAGGGCCTGCAGCCTATCTCTGTGGCCCTTTCAAAACATGGCTTCCACTTGGCTTCCACTCTACTGACCACCCATCGTGTGTCTGGCCGTGGGCATCGGCACAACAAGCAGCTCTGAGGGGTAGGCATTATTATTTTTTGTGGCTGCACACTCTAGTGCCCTGACTGGGACTCAGTGCATGAGACGACACTCAACCCATCAAGCCACATCAGCCAGGGCATGTTAGGTATTATTAACATCCCCGTTTTTACAAAGAAACTGAGTCCCAGGTATACTTACTTGCTTAAGGTAGCAAAGGAAAGGGAAGAGCCAAGATTCAAACCTGGATATTTTTGACTCAGAAGCCCTGTTTTGCATCCTCCTCTCCTCCCTTCCTCTTTCTTCTTTTATTGTTATTTTTACTTATACCACCCAGGGTGCCTGGAGTCCTCACATCTCTGTGCAGATTGAGAAAAGGTGGCTGCCTCCAGTGGAGGCAGCTCTAGCCTGGTGCATGGGGAGCAAGGACTACATTTCAGCTGACCTCCCCCTGGGATGTCATCTCAGTTGGTCACCTTTGCAGAGGGCGAGGCCTGCATGGCTGGTGGCTCTCACATCATACTGGCCTCAGGGCTCCAGGTCCTGAGTCAAGTCTTGCCATGAACTGCCTATGTGACTGGGTAAGCCACATCTCCCTGGGCGTCGGAGCCCTCGTTTGTAAAATGAGGCCACTGGACTAGCCACCAAACTTCCCTCCCAAATGGAACTCTTTTTCTGCACAACACTTTCCAAGTTGGATGGAATGGCAGCCACAATCTAGCAACGGGTCTCACATGGCTCTGACCTCATTCACCACTCTATGTCCCAGCAGACTGGAAGACCCATTGATCTCAAAACTCAAACACCTTCAGGGCCGGGCAGGTACATAAACAGAGCAGCGAGCATCAGAAAAATCATGTGGCTTTAATTTTCCCCCCCACTTTAGGTAACATCGTTCAGAGACATAGTTCTCCAAAGAGGTGCAGTGACAACAGGGACAACATGGTGAGCCCTTGCCCTGCCCAGGGAGTAGCTGTGACTAACTGTCAGGGCAGCTGCTCTGAGGACTCCAGCCCCATTGTTCCTAGGGCTCCTGCAAGTCAAGAGAATCTGCACATCTACATGTTGATATAAAAGCTCCTGATTGTAAAACGCTTTTTTTTTTTTGTTTTTTTGTTAGACCTACTGCAGCTCAAAGAAAACATGTTTTCCACTTTTATCTTCAGTCTCCTTCCTTCCACCCCCTTGGGAAATCTGGATGCTCGCTGATTCATTTATTAAGTATTTGTTGAGTCTCTATTATACTCCTGGGATACATCAAGAGACACTGTGGTTATTTCTTTCAGCTTCTTGGCAAAGCAAACAATTCACTATTTTTATTTGCACCCACACAAAAAAATATTAACATATTTAAAATATTTCCTAAGCACAGGATTGGTGCTACAAAATGATAAGGCTTATTAGAAGAAAACTTCACTTTTAAACACACGGTGAGTCCAAAAACAAGTTAATAACGTGATCTTGTTATTTCGGGAACTCAGTGAAAGCGTTGTTTTTAAATTAGCCTTGTTATTTTTAATCTGAATGCTAATTCAATGAGCATTTTCCTTTAATTATCTTAATTGGTTTTAAATGGACAGTTTTTCAGTTCACGAAAGTGTCTTTAGCCTCATGCCCCTTAAAATAATCTCTCTTTATTGAGCTTGTCTCTACCCTGGACCCAGGAGGAAAGCAGAGTACAGTGGCTCACTGTTTTAGAAGTGCTCTGTTCAAATGTGTTGTAAAACGTCAGCCCCGAGGCCGGTGGGAAAGGAGAGGCAGGGCAGGCACAGCCAGGAGCCTGGCAGGGTGACGGACACGTTGTTTCTGAACATTTATAACTTAGAACCTATCGCCAGGCTGGGCTACTTTAGTTAAAAGGACTGTTAATGATGACAATCATTAAGGTCAACATGCATATTACAATTGTTTTGTAAGACACAAGTTATTAACAGTGTTTAGTAGTAAAAGTTACATAAATTGTTGTTAGTAGTCAACTATTAGGCACTAACACCTACCAAGCACCACCTCTGTGCTGGACCCCGAGTTCTCGTTAACTGTGTCATCTCATGGACAACTCCCCATCACTAACCAGGGCAGCTGTAATATCCTGTTATCATTGGGGAAACTGAGGCTCAGGGGAGGGACGTAACTTGCCTAAAGAAGGATCCTTTTATTTATTTTTTAATCCTCTCACCCAAGGATATATTTTTATTGATTTTTTTTAAACGGGAGAGAGGATGGGAAAGAGAGAGAGAAACACTGATATGAGAGAGACACGAGACACATTGACTGGCGGCCTCTCCTATGTGTCCTGACCAGGGACTGAACCTGAAACCTAGGGATGTGTCCTGACTGAGAATCAAACCCACAGCCTTTTGGTGTGGGGGCCGAGGCCCCTGGGCAGGGAGGTAACATGTTTTTCCCAATCGGTTTCATAGCAGGGCCTTCACAGATGCTACAAAACTGCTCGACTTGGCTTCTCTTGACGCAACACTGCTCTGAAGCCCCAAGCTGGCACTACTGCAGCCAGTGTGCCCGAGGCGTGGACTGCAAGAGGGACATGGGGCAGACTTCCTCCCGGGCCTGTGTGTGACACCCAGCAGCCGGCATTCTGGGAGGAAGTTATTGCTATGATTCCTTTTCATCGTGCCATCAGCAGTTTTTCCATTCCTTAATGCATGGTGTCATTTAAACAGTAACGCTGCACTATCGGGTCTAGTAATAATTAATGTCGTTTTTAAACATTGGTTTAAAATCTTGCTTGGCGTTGACTTGTATTGACATAACCTTCAAACACGTGGTATCTACAGAACGTGTGAAGTGCAATTAACAAGTTTTGCTTGAAAAAGTTTGTGTTTGGTTTGTTTTTTGTTGCAAAACTAGGGCTAAGAAGATGGCGGATGAAGAGCATATTCGGCACTGCATGCTTTACGAGTTCCAATTAGGAAGAAAAGCAAGTGAGGCTGCAAAAAACATCTGTAGTGCTCTTGGTCAAGATGCAGTTAGCGCCAGAAAATGCCAGCGTTGGTTTGAGAAATTTCGCGAGGGAAATTTTTCGTTAGATGACAAGAGTGGTCGAGGCCATGTGTCCAATTTTGATCAAGAAGCTCTTCAAGCTCTTTTGGTGCAAAATCCTCAAATTACCCAACAAGAGCTTGCAACAACTTTAAATTGTTCACAAAAAACAATTTCCAATCAATTGCGTGCACTTGGCAAAGTCCAAAAGTTTGGAAAATGGGTTCCTCATGAGTTGACCGACAACAACCGTAATCAAAGAGTCACAATTTGCAGTTCGCTCCTCTCTCGTCAAAACCGTTTGCCGTTTTTAGAGCAAATTGTTACCGGAGATGAAAAATGGGTGCTGTATATTAATCTGAAAAGGCGGCCTCAATGGTTGGACAAAAATGAGGCTCCACAGCCCACACCAAAACCTGACTTGCATGCGAAAAAAGTGATGTTGTGTGTTTGGTGGAATTTTAAAGGAATTCTTCATTATGAACTTTTACCATCTAACCAAACCATTACAAGTGCAGTGTATAGTGCCCAATAGGAAAGGTTAGCCCATGCTTTAAGAGAAAAAGAACCCGCGCTGATTAATCAGAAGGGCGTAACTCTTCACCACGATAACGCACGACCACATACTGCAAGAATCACTGCTGAAAAACTGCGCCAGTTGGAATGGGAAGTTCTCCCTCAACCTGCATATTCTCCTGATATTGCCCCTTCCGATTACCATTTGTTTCGTTCTTTGCAAAACTTTCTTCTTGGAAAAAAATTTAATAATGAAGAATGCCTCAAAAATGCATTGACCGAATTTTTTGCATCAAAATCACAAGAATTTTACAACAGAGGGATTAAAATGCTTCCTGAGCGTTGGGCACAAGTAGTAGAAAACAATGGCAACTATATTGTTGATTAAATTTTGTTGTATTGTTTAAATAAATTAGATTTAAAAAAAGTATTAGAAAACGACATTAATTATTACTAGACCTAATATTTCCTGAGGACAACTTCAACCGACAAGGTTATGTATAATGTTCCCTTTTCCTCTCTTTCTCACACTAGCTGGTTGGCTCATGTGTCTATGGCCAGGCAGCCCTGGTGGCTGGGAAACAAGACACTTTCTAGAAGACCTGAAACCGCAGACTTGTCAACCAGCCACTTTCTTGTGATCCGTCCTTGGATGAGGCCTCAACATCTACCTCTGCAAATAGAAAACACTGATGTTCTCCCCTGGGAGTGACTGGGAGGCCAACACTGAGAAAATAGACGGGGAAGTCCCTAGCACGGTGCCTGGCACATAGTAGGCACTTCATAAAATGTACTTGTCTTTCCGTCCTTCTCTCCTCACTTTGTGGGGTGGCACACCCCACAGCCTCATTCATTCCGCACACAGAGTAAGGGCACAGAGCCTGGGCTAGAGGACTAGATGGTTTTTCCAGTCTGCCTCCTGGCCGTCACGCACAGATCCCTCAGTGCCTTTCCACGCCCTGCAGGACGCTTTCTCTGGGTGGCTTGTCAGGGGTCCTACCTTGCGTGGGTGGACGTGGCTGGGGCTGTCCCAGCGGAGGCCCCAGCTGGGCTGTCCCGGGGGATTTGGCTGGTTTAGTCTGTGGAGCCTAGAGCAGGAGCAGAGAAAAGAAGCCCGCTGTGATCACCATAGCCATTCACATGGAATGGCTATGTCGGAGGGCAGAGCTTACAGAGATCTTTTCATCACAGGTCCAACTTACATATAGTGTGCAATTTGCAAGCATGCAGCACAGTGAATTTTTACACGTGTAGACACCCACATGACCACCACCCCGGTCAGGACAGAACGTTTCCAGTGGAGAAGGCTGCTCTGAGCTCCTCCCAGCCAGCAACCCCTCCAAGTATAACCATGATTCCGATGCCTGTTATCACAGATTCAAGTTTTTGTGGGCAAAGGAGGGGAGCTGGTTTCAACACTTGTTTTTCCAGAAAGCTGGGAAACTGGCAAATTCTTTGGAGGGTGACCTGGTAATCCATGGTGAGGACTGTGGAGGGGAGGAGCTATGTGGGAGCTTGACAGGTTGGGGGATGGGGAAACGGAAGACACAATGGTCTCTATTGAGTGCACTGAGATCACACAAAGGGCATGTGTGTACACCCACATGCACACACACACACACACACACACACACCCTGCCCCCTGCTCAGGCCCAGGATGGAGGGCACAGAAGGGGCAACTGACTTATCACTATAATCTCTGCCCACAGATTCCCAAGCCCATTGAGGTGAGGTTTTTCTCCCCAGGATGAAGGGACAAAGGGCCCCTCGGAACTCCCCAACTCCCGTCAGGAGCAGGGTGTAGAAGCTGTGCCCCATGTCCAGGCACCGTCCACACCCCATCCCTTTCTCCCCATGCTGGTTCCTTCCCGGGGGTATCCCCTTTGGATCCAGAGGCCTCCCATTCTCAGGCAGATTGGCATTTCTGATGGCAACAAAGTCTCCTTTGTTTCTGCGGACTTACCCAAGGCCTCAGGGGTGAAGGCACTGTACCCCCTGGCACCAGGAATTGGCTCATTTTGGAAACAACAAGGTCAGCCATCAGCTGTCTGTCCTCTTCCACGTGCTCTCCAATCAGAGGCATCGAGCTGTCCATCACCTGCAGGAGAAATGACACCTGAGGGACGCCCATGTCAGAGTTCCAGGAAGGAGAGCGGGCCCAGAGCTCAGAACAGAACTGACCACTAGATGGCGATGTTCTCCATGCAAACACCCAGCCCCGTGCCTCCAGCTGGGAACCAGCCCCTGTAGACATCCAGTTCCCTGCAGTTCTGTCTCCACCAACTCCCGGGATCAGTTCAGTTCAGCCTGCATTCGCTGGACTACAGAAATGTGACTGCGGGCGGGAGCCTTCGCTGACCTTTTCTGCTCTTTTCTTTGGGGAACGTCCCCTCTTTTTCCAAGGTCAGGGCTGGCTTTCTGAATTTTGGCCCAAGGTCAAGGCTTTCCACAAAGCCAGAAGCAGTGAAGTGCAGGTTCGATTATGACCAAAAAATAAAAATAAAAATGACACGGGTTGAGCTGACCCCGGGTTCAGGAAGAAGGGGGGAGAGGAAAGGCCTCTGCTCTGGGCTCTGGAGGAACAGAAGCCGGAGTGAAACTCATTCCACAGGGAGTGGGCTGTTTCTCAGAGGAGACCGAGCGGTTGTTCTCAGAGGGGCCTGGAGGTCTCCTTTCCCCATCCATGAAACCAAGGCCCAGAAGTGTACCGGGCTTGCCCACAGGCACACAGGCCTGCATCCAGGTGGTGCCCAGGCATGAGCAGCTGTGGGTCTTGAAGGGGAGTGAGCCTTGGTAGGTCCTCTCTCTACTCCTCCGCTCCTGTCCAGCCCTCTTTGCCCACCGAACCTCCATCAAAACCACTGTCTTCTTTCCCCTTTTCCCAAGCTCTGGACTCACCAGGTTCTCTCTCCTGTCCGAGTCCTTGTGCCCGTCACTCCCTCAGCTCACTCTTTTCCTGGGTCTCACCATCAGGAGGCACTTACCAAGCCTTCCTCTGGGAAGCCCTGACTGAGTGAGCTCTGAGAAGGCCCCTGTCCCATGTCCTCCTGCTGTCCTCACTTTGGTCATCCCCCTGGAGGGCTTACCCCCACAGCATGTCCCCTCCTGTTTACTGGTGTCTCCCCAGCCAGACTATGGGCCCCTAACATCAGGGCTGGGCCCTGTGTCCCGCTAAACAGGTACATCCTCAATACTTACCTGTTGATGGAGGGACGAAAAGTCCAGCTCCTAATGATAAGGACACCAAGAAGTGCTATGATTTATTGAGCACTTACTATGTGCCAGGCACTGTACTAAGCACTGGGTATGGATGATCTCACACAAATCTCAGAAGAGCCATTGGAGGCAGGGACTATTATTATCCTAATCTTAAGCACGAGGAAACTGAGGGTCAAAGAGATGTGGCAAGTTCAAGGACACATGGCTAGCAAACCAGCAAGGGAACGGCTCTCTGGGTAAAAACCGGGAACAGGAAACCTGAGTTCCAGGCTTAGGTCCTGCTACGGATGTGCTGTGAGGCTGGGCAGGTCCCTTCCCTCTGATTTAACCACCTGTAAACGGAGGGGCCTGGGCAGCTGGGAAGACCCCGGCAGCTGAGGCTTGTTGAGGTCTGTGAGTCTCAAGCACGCCCTGTAGCTGGAAGCTGGGAAAACTCCCAGTTATGAGTCCTGATTCTAACCTGGCTGTGAACACGAACCTTACAGCGAGCGCCTCACGGTTGGGGCGTCGGTCCTTGGTACCCCAGATCCAATGCCTGTCACGTGGACAGTGTCTCCGTCCGCGTGGGTTGAGTTGAGTTTTAACTGTCTAAAGCAGGGGTCTTCAAACTTCTCTCATTATGAGAATCACCTGGTGGAGGTGTTAAAACACAGATTCCTGATAGCACTTCTTATAGTTGGGATCCGGGAATCTGAGTTTTAACAACTCCACCAGGTGATTCTCATAATGAGAGAAGTTTGAAGACCCCTGGTCTAAAGGGATGCAGGCCTGTCCCTTCTCCCCGAAACCTGCCCACCTGTTTCTGTTCTCGCTTCTGTTCCCTGGATTCCCTGGAGTGGAAAACAGCCTTCCCATTGAGAGCAGAACATTCTGGAATCCCCGTGGTGGACACAGCCAAAGGAAGTGGACACTGGTCTCACGGGGGAAACATTTTTTCCCAGTGAGCAATGGCATTCCCTGGACAGGTCACGGGGGACAAGTTCAAGGATCTATCTCTCCCTTGAGCATTTCACTGTGAGGATCTTCGCAAAACATGCCACACAGATGTTATGTTCTCACCACAGAGGTGGCCGAAGGAAACGGTGTTTTTGGATCCGGGGCAAAACACCTCTTATTTTCCTCCTGGCAGACTCCCCATCGCCCTGGACCCCACCCTAAACTCAGAGCAAGGGAACAACTCTCAGAGAAAAAAACAACCTGAAAAGCCATCTTTGTTTCCTTTTAGAACATTTTTGGCAAGTTTTCCTTCCTCCCTCCCTCCCTCCCTCCCTCCCTCCCTCCCTCCCTTCCTTCCTTCCTTCCTTCCTTCCTTCCTTCCTTCCTTCCTTCCTTCCTTCCTTCCTTCCTCCCTCCCTCCCTTCCTTCCTTCTTGTAAATGTGAAAGGTCCTTCATCTCCGAACCGCCTGGGCCCACAGGTGCACGTTTTCCCCCTAAGGGTGGAAGCCGAGGAAACTCAGAGAGGCAGGAGCTTTAGGGCAGAGAGAATGCTAACGCAGGGGGAAGGGACTAAGCTCACAGGGTGGAGGGGAGCGCAGGCCAGGAGTCCTCATCCACTGATTGGATGGGAGCTCCTGGAAGCAGTGCTCCCTGCTGTGCCCCCGCCCCCTGGCTCCGGGCTGGCACCCAGGATTGGGGTTCAGTGGTGAAGGAATGAACACTGTGTGTGCGCCAAACCTGAGTTCATGTCCGGTGGTCCCGGGAGGAGATGCTGAGGCTGGAGGGTCGGGAGGGGTCTCAAGAGTTGCAGGAGGGCCCGGGGGGCGACCTGGGCCTGAGGCTCGCAGCGCACCTCAGGAGGCCGGGGACCCGCTGCCCCTGGAGCCAGTGTGCAGGCCGGCAGTTCTGCACCTTCACTGTCCCCCGAGAGGGGCCGCTGGGGGAACGTCAGGTGTGGGGGCAGCCAAAGGGGAGCCATTTCTGGGCCCGAGGGGGAGCTGTTCCCCAGGGGAGGCTGCACTTACAAATACCCACGCCACTCCAGTGGGAGCTTCCACCTTTCAGCCCCAGAAGCAGCCACTCCCTGGCCAGGCTGTCACTTCCCGGCACAGCTCGGGGAGAGCAGCAGGGCTCCCACCGAGCACGTCACCTAGCCCTGCCCGCTGTGGTCCAGGGAGTGGCCGGACACCGGGCCTGGAACTGGCCGCTCCCACGGTCTGCTGGCCACGGGCAGCTGGCCCTGGGGGCCACGTGCTTCCCATCGGCAGCCCCCGCGGGGGCGGGGCCGCAGGGCGCCCTCTGGTGGCCTGGCCTCGGGTCAGCACAGGCCTCCGGCCGCCGAGTGAGCAGCCCCAGGAGGTGGGAGTCTGGAAGGTGCTTTGGGAGGAGGGGTGCAGGGAAGGGGAGCTGGGGCGCAGGGAAACACCAGGGGAGCAGGTGAGGCACAGAGGGTGCATGGAGGGGAGAGGAGGACTGTAGGATTGCGGGTGTTAGTTAGAGGATTGTTGGAGCAGGAGAAATGGGTGGAGTCAGGAGAGAGGGAGGAGTCAGGGGAGATGGGAGGAGTCAGGGGAGAGGAGGATTGTGGGAGCAGGAGAAATGGGTGGAGTCAGGAGAGAGGAGGATTGTGGGATTGGGAGAAACATGAAGGGGTAGCTGGGGGTAGCAGAGGATTGTGGGAATAGGAGGGACGTGAGAGGAGTGAGGGAGAGGGGGGGTTGTGGGAGCACGAGGGACGTGGGCGGAGTCAGGAGAGAGGAGGATTGTGAGAGCATGGGAGGAGTCAGGAGAGAGAAGGATTGTGGGATTGTGGGTGGCAGAGGGGGATCGTGGGAGGGGAGGAACACGGAGGGGTAGCTGGGGGCGGGGCAGGGTTGGAACCGCTTAGTGAGGGTCTCGGAGGGCCGCAGGGGGCTGTGGGAGCGATCCCAGGACCCACGGCCCCTCTCGGACTTCGGTCTTTTACAATTAACTTCCCAGCAGCCTTCCCTCCGTCCACACGCGTGCACAGCTGTGTCCCTCTCCTAACCGCCAGTGCCCGCCTCTCTTTATCCTCCTCCGTCCCTGCCAGCCGCACACTGCGTCTGTTTGTGTCCCCAGAGCCGCGCCGTGCCTGGCCCAGGAGCCGGGCGTGTATGTTTATGGGTTTACTGGGTGAACAGACACGGGGAACTCTGCACGGTGACTACACAGCTGGAGGAAGTGCAGGCAGCCCAATGGGAGAGATCCTGCCCCTGAGCCTGATGCTCTCGCCCTCCCGTGGACCACGGTCAAGGATGCTGGGGCTGTGGAGGCGCAGCTCAGAGCCCCGGGCACCAGGCTTGAGATGCAGCTGAGGACGGGAGTGGGGGTGGGGGGAGAGGGCTGCAGTGCCCAGGCCGGAGGCAGACACGGCTGGCCATGCCGCGGCCACACCCAGAGCCCCCCCTCCGCACGCCTGCCCAGGGGCTGGGCCAGGCCAAAGCACCTCCGCTGCCCCCCTCACCTCGATGATGAAATCTCTGCCGTCCTTGCTGTGGACAGCCTTGACCGCGCAGATGTCCAGGCCGCCAAACATTTCCGAGCAGCTATCCACCCACAGCCTGTACCTGCAGGGATGGACAGACGGCGAGTGAGTGAGGGGGCAGAGAGCAGGGCAAGGGGAGCAGAGGGAGGGAGATGTAGCTAAAGCGGTGGAGAGAGACACAGAGAAAAGGCAGAGAGAGACAGTGGCTCAGGCCCATTCAGAGATGGAGAGGTGTGGTAAGAAGTAACGCATAGCCTGGCTAGTGTGCTCAGTGGTTGAGCGTCGACCTATGACCTGGTTCGATTCCTGGTCAAGGCGCATGCCTGGGTTGCAGTGTGGGGCGTGCAGGAGGGAGCCAATCAATGATTCTCATTGTTGATCTCCTCTCCTCTCCTTTCCTCTTCTCTCCTCTCCCTTCCTCTCTGAAATCAATAAAAAAATATATATATATATATATAATATATTAAAAAAATAACAGACATGGCAAGAGAGACAGTAGAGGCAGAGACACAGAGAGAGGCAGTGGGAGAGACAGAATGGCAAAAACAAATTTGAGACATAGATGGACAGTGAGAAAGAGGGAGGGAAAGGGAGCCAGGTAGGCAGGAGAGAGGAATGATGAAGAGGGCAGGGGAAGCAACAATAAGAGTTGGGAGAGCCGAAACCGGTTTGGCTCAGTGGATAGAGCATCAGCCTGGGGACTGAAGGGTCCCAGGTTCGATTCCAGTCAAGGGCATGTACCTTGGTTGCGGGCACATTCCCAGTAGGGGGTGTGCAAGAGGCAGCTGATGGATGGTTCTCTCTCATCGATGTTTCTAACTCTCTATCCCTCTCTCTTCCTCTCTGTAAAAAAATCAATAAAATGTATTAAAAAAAAAAAAAGAGTTGGGAGAAATCCCCCCAGTCCCACCCAGAACCGTGCTGGCTCCAGAGTAGTGAGAGCTTGCCCTGCCCCCATCCAGATCCGTTCTGGACACCCAGCCATCCCAGCAGCCCTTTTCCCTTGGGAAAGCTGCCTGGAGGGCTTCAGAAATCCTCCCTGTCGCCCTCCCAGCTCCGGGGACCAGGCCAGACAAGAGCCTGCAGGGGGACAAAGAGCATATTCTGCCCTGAGCCTGGGGTGGGCATGGGAGGGAGCAGACCAGGCCGCTCCGGGCCGGGGCCTGGCCCTCTGGACCTGCTGCTGCTTTTGTTCCCCGTCCAGCCACTTGACGGCTGCGAGGCCAGTTTGCTTTGCAGGGGAAAGAGCTCCCGCTGGACTTTGCCCCCGCAACAAGGGGACGCTTGTAGCTGAGACCTTTCCCCAGGCCTGCACTTGGCCTCCCCCGGGGTGGCTGGATTTGGGAGTCACAGGGGACTTTGTGTCAATGTTCTCGCTTCTCACCCCACTCTCCAGGGTCACACGGGGCACGCCTACTTCTGAGATCTATTTGTGTCTCTGAGCCATAGGCCTGGAATGAGGAGCGATCATGGCTCAAGTGCTCTTAGCACAGCGCTCTCTTCTTAGCTGCCAGTGCCCGCTGAGGCCCAGAGAGGGACAGCGGCGTGGCCAGGTCACACAGGAAGATGGTATCAGAGCCCAGGTTGCCCAGATCTCCTGGCTCCTAGTTCAATTCTTTCCTTCAACTGTAGCATGTGAGATCATAGATGTAAAAGGAAGGATGAAAACTCATGTCTATTAAGCTCCTATGTGCGAGACATTCTGTGAGGAGTGGGGGTTGATTCCTCATTCTTTCTACCCCCACAACAACTCTATCAGGAAGGTTTAACCCATTTTACGGATGAGGAGACTGAGGGTCAGAGAGGGTAATAAGTGTGCGCTGGCTTCCAAACCCAGATCCTGTTTGATTCCACAGGCCACAGAGCCACCCTGCCTCTCAGTCAGAACATGAGGACCTGCTCTTACCGTGGGAGACCAGATCTGGATGCCTAATTTTTAACTTTATTCAGAGAGCGGAAGGGAGAGGGAGTTAGAAACATTAATGATGAGAGAGAATCATCGATCCATTGCCTCGTGCATGTCCCCCACTGGGGATTGAGCCAGTGACTCAGGCACGTGATCTGACCAGGAATTGAACTGTGACCTTTTAGATAATGGGTTGATGTTCAACCACTGAGCAACACTGGCCAGGTGAGTCACCTGACTTCTTTCTGTCAATTCCCTCTATAATCTGGGCTGAGCCTTTCCCTGCAGCCTCAGTTTCCATCTCCCGCCACGGCTGCAGCTTCTTCCTAAGCACCGCCTTCGTTTCTCACCTCTCTGTCATGGCCACCTGCTCCAGCATGGCAGAGCCTGTGTTGGCCTTCCAGTTGCCGGAGATGGAGGTTCTCCTGCATCAGAACAAATAACACAGTGAGGGCATTAGGGACACGTCCCCTGATCTGCTTTCCTTCTTGGCTTTGGCTGTGAGAAGGCTCTGATTCAAATATCTGGCTCTCAGATGAGATGTATTCCTAGGGACATGCTGTCCTCAGCTTTATCTTTTATGTGATAAATATATATTTTTTGATCTTTAAAATTTTTAAATTGATTCTTTTTTAGAGAGAGAGAAAGGATGAGAGAGAGAGAGAATGCCTGAGAGAGATATAGATTCGTTGTTTTATTTATTTGTGCATTCACAGCTTGATTCTTGTAGGGGATCAGACGCAGAACCTTGACATTTTGAGTATTTTTTGGATCTTCTGTATCATTTCCAAAGCCACCTTTGAAGTCTAAAAATTAAATTTAAAAAAATGTCTATATAATCTAATGAAATCCCAAATGTTGGTGTCTTTTTTTTTAGAACTAGGCCAGTATAACCCCTGGGATTCTGGAATTTTTTCACAGCCCCCAAAGGTAGGGAGAATGGCCCATGGAGAGGAGTGATTACTTTTCCATGGTGAAGACCAGGCACGCCTTCTGGCCTATCACCCTCTCAGTTCCCTCTTCTTTCCTGCCCGGCAACAGCTGACCTCCCTTTGGGTCTCCATGCCCATGGCTCTTCTCTATGTCCAGGCCTCCACCCGGCTCTGCTCCTTTCCTTTGCCTGGTCCAGTCTTTGTCTCCATCCTTGCTGCCCTCAGTCCTACTCATCCTTCAAGTTCACCTGAAATGTGACTTCCTGACAGCACACCTTCCCAACAAGAGTAGACCCCGCTGCGCTGCACCTATACCAGTGTTTAATAATGCTCATCTCACCTGTAACGACTGCTTTACAGAGGACCTATTAGACTCATCCCCTGATGTCCAGTGGGAGCTGGCATGGAGCGGGGGAAGGGACTGTGTGTGCAGAATGCAGACAGACCTTGTCCAATGGCACATGTGCACTCAGCAAAGATGGAATGGCTATAAGCAAAGTGGCAGAGGTAAAGCTATTTATTCTGTGGCCAAGGGAAGGCGGGTGGTGGAGATTAAAGGGTGGTGGCGGCGGCGGCGGGGGACGTGGGTGTGGAATTGCTACAAAATACGTCCTAAATGAGAAGAGAGTACAGAGGAGACTAGATGGTGGCCAATAGGAGTCATAATGACTGAGGGGCATTGATAAACAGAGACATCAATAAGGTTCACATCAGTTCAGTTTTGTTCAGTTCAGCTCAATGGAATTCCATTCAACCTGGCAAAGACTCAGTGGGCCATCCTGTGTCCTGGGGGTACAGAGGTGACCCCTCCTCGGGCTGCTCACTACCTGGAAGGGGGTCTAGTCTAAAACCAGAGGCCAGGCATGGTGGGGCTATGGATCTACACAAGGAGAGACGCGCTCTGGGGAAGCCAAGATGGAACCAGTCACTTACTGTGGTTGCGAGAGGTAGCCAGTGGGATGTGTGTGGAGGATGAGCAGGGATTGCTATCGTGGGATCTATACCGGGGGAAGAGGAGGCAAACCTGACGCGAGTCAGATGGATGCAAGTTTGAACCTTGGTCCCAGCATTCTCTAGCTGTATAACTGTGGCCAACATGCCAACGTCTCTATATTATCTCCTTGTAACTTGGGAATCATTCAAGTACTGCCCTTCCAGGGTATTGTGTGGATTAAAGGAAACCTTCCCCCCCCCCCCCCCCCCAAATCTTTCAGTATAATGGGTGCTGCTCTGATTTCTCAGTGAGTGGAGACAAGAGGAGGAGGCATTCCAATGCCAGAGGCAGGAGGCACAGAGCCAGACCGCTCTCCTTCCAAGAAGATAATGATGGTGAGAGCTGATATCTAATGAGTGCTTTCTATGTGTGAGACGAGAGTCTGAGGGCTTTATGAGCACTGGCTTCTTTCAGCCTCACTGAACCTAATGAGACGGATATTATTTTATCATCATTTCCACTTAGTGGCAGAGCCACCAAACCATATCTGAGGAATTCCATGCTCTGAACTGAGACTCACCATGGCACAGCCCGTGGCAGGCTTGGGGGGGGAGAGTCAGTTGGCCCTAATGTGATACAGTCTAGTTGGCAAACTGCGGCTCTCGAGCCACATGTGGCTCTTTGGCCCCTTGAGTGTGGCTCTTCCACAAAATACCATGGCCTGGGCAAGTCTGTGTTGAAGAAGTGGCGTTAGAAGAAGTTTAAGTTTAAAAAATTTGGCTCTTAAAAGAAATTTCAATCGTTGTCCTGTTGATATTTGGCTCTGTTGACAAATGAGTTTGCCGACCACTGGCCTAGACCAGCGTTTTTCAACCGCTGTTCCGCGGCACATGTTGCCTGGTGTGCCGTAGGTGCAGACAAGACAAGAATTTTATAATTTTTCACTATTTTGTTTACTTAATATTTCATAATAAAGTAATTATAAAATACTTTCTTTGTGTTTATTTGATTCCTATTCAAGAGAATTACTTTATATATAGTCAATATAGGCACAGAGTTAAATTTTTTAACATTTTCTAATGGTGGTGTGCCTTGTGATTTTTTTCATGAAACAAGTGTGCCTTTGCCCAAAAAAGGTTGAAAAACACTGGCCTAGACTATGACAAAAGGGTCTGTCTGTCTAGGTTGCAAAGGTATGACACCGACCCCCTCATTGAAGAAGGCGGGGCTGGGGATGGAGGAGCCGACCTCCGTCACCTTGGCAATGAGTGGAGATGGTGAGTCAGTACAAAAGGGACTGTATCACAGTTGGTGACGTGTCTCTTACAGGGCTGTGGGCACGGGTTCTGCAGAGCGCATGTAGAGTGGGACTCACACATAAGGACGTAGACGGCGGATGGCGGGAGCCAGAACGCTCCCTGCTGGAGTGGGAAGTGTAGATAAGCAATCCGAGAAGCCTAAAACGAACCATGTGGGACCAGATGAAAGTCAGAGGCACCCACGTGAACTCGATTTAGCTTTAGACGTAGATGGCTAATGTTATAGAAATGATTACCGCTACGTGAGGAGTGGGTTAAGGCAGTGGTGGGCAAACTGCGGCTCATGAGACACATGTGGCTCTTTGGCCCCTTGAGTGTGGCTCTTCCACAAAATACCACGGCCTGGCGAGTCTATTTAGAAGAAGTGGCGTTAGAAGAAGTTTAAGTTTTAAAAATTTGGCTCTCCAAAGAAATTTCAATCGTTGTACTGTTGATATTTGGCTCTGCTGACTACTGAGTTTGCCGACTCCTGGGTTAAGGTACACACATATCTTTCTGAGCTCTGCGAAGAGGCCTGGGGAAATGACATTCCAGTGGCAACTCGTGCAAAGGCCCCAGAGCAGGGTGTCAGGTGGGCCAGAGAGGAGGCTGGGCGGTCAAGGGCGCAGAGGATGCTCTCCCCTGAGGTCTGCCACGAACCCCCGCCCTGGGATGTGGGCCAGCCCAGGGTCCAGGAAGCGCCATCACGAATGACAAATTGGGCTGTCAGGGAAGAAAGGCTCGGCATAAAGAATGCAGCAGTGAGGTAATCCTCAAGGAGAGAAACTGGGACAAGGTGCAGTCAATGTCAAGTGGAAACTCGAGCGGTGAGGAGAGGAGGGAAGTGATACCGTGAGGGGCGGCCCAGAGGCCTCAGGAACGCACTGGACTGCGGCACCAGAATGTTCCCTCGCTCCTTCCCCAGGGAGGAGGGGACATCATCACCCCGAGGGCATCGGAGAGCCGCCACAGGTCTGGCTCGGTTCCTGGTGGAAGAGCGTGATTGGCAGGAAGGGCAGAGGTGTTCCTTGGGAGCGGGCTCCGTCTCTTTGGAGGAAAAAGGCCAACTGCCTGCACCTTCTCCGGCTCCCCAGGCAACGGCAGAGCTGGCACGGCCTGCGAGGCCCGCAGTTACCACCTGGGCCTTGGCAGAAGGATGGGCTGACCCTCGGTGGTGCGGGCAATGCAGGTGGTACAAAAGCAGCCCAGACCATGCATTGCTGGGCGTGCATGGCTGTGATGGGGAAAACTTTATTTAAAAAAAACACACACTTTCAGCAGAAACCGGTTTGGCTCAGTGGATAGAGCGTCGGCCTGCGGACTGAAGGGTCCCAGGTTCGATTCCGGTCAAGGGCATGTACATTGGTTGCGGGCACATCCCCAGTGGGGAGTGTGCAGGAGGCAGCTGATCGATGATTCTCTCTCATCGATGTTTCTAACTCTCTATCCCTCTCTCTTTCTCTCTGTAAAAAAATCAATAAAATATATTAAACAACAACAACAACAACAAAAAACACTTTCATTTTAGAGAGGAAGGGAGGAACATCAGTGAGGAGAGAGAATCATTGATCGGCTGCCTCCTGCACACTCCCTTGTGGGGATTGAGTCTGTAACTCCGGCATGCGCCCTGACCTGGAAAGGAACCGTGACCTACTGGTTCATAGGTCAACACTCAACCACTGAGCCATGCTGGCCGGGCATGATGGGTAAACGTTTATTTACAGAAACTAGTGGCAGCTGGATTTGGCCCGTGCGCTGTGGTCTGCAGACCCTGACCCTGAGCACCAACTGCACCGCAGAGAGGCACACAGAGACTTCCAGCTGCCCGGCCGGCCCGGCAGCCCTCCAGCACGGCACCATTCACGCAGCCAGGGCTCCGTGGGCTCGGCACCCGGGCTCCGGGTGGCTCTCTGGGGTCTCATCCTTTCAGGTGGAACCAACAACAACATTTCAAAGTGAGAGAAGAGAGTCTGGGAGCAGAAGAGATGCTCTGAAGATGGAGAACTCCCTCCCGCTTCTCCTGTAACCACGGCTCTCTGCGAGTCACCCTCTGCTCCGCCTCCCCTGGGGATCTGTGGATGTCCTGTTGCTGACTCCTCTCCCCTGGTTCCGCTGGGGGATGCCCCTGCCGTCTTGATGGGCTCTCCATGCTGCTTTTCTGACTTTCTCTAACCACAAGCCTGTGGCCGAAGTTTGACCAATCAGCGCTGTTTCCATGGAACCACAATTTCGACGGAAGTTCTGAGGTGATTAGGGGACATTTGTTTCCCAGTCCGGGTGCCATGAAGGTTGTCTATTGCTTCTGGCTGCCCGGGATCCTAAGATTTCTGAAACTGATAACTGAGTGGTTTTATTGGTTAATTGGTTAATTGGTTTGTTTTAAGTTTCTGAATACCCATGTTTTTCTAATCCTTTTTAAAAAGCTCCATCAAGTTAGTCAAGTGTGGTTTCTGTTGCTTGTAGTCAGAGAATCCTGCTATGCTCTCCTAACTGGTCTTAGTGGTTTCAGGGAATCCCCTTTGCAGCCTGAGGGCCCAGAGCCACCTTTTTGTTAATTGAGGCCAGACCACTCCACGTCTCTGCTCCGCAGAGAACAGAAGACAATCCACAACCTCAGCCAGGCGTTCGAGGCCCTGCTTGATCTGTCCTCAAGTTTCTCTCCGTCTTGTCTCCTGTGACACACACCCTGAATGCACTGGAAGTTCCCCCAACATGCCCGTGTCTTCCTTCCTCTGGGGGGACAGCCCTCATTTGGGCAGACAGACTTCCACCCTGGGCTAAGCCAGGGGGATCATCAGCCCTCAGCTCACAGACCAGAGAGGGTCAGAAAGGAGGTGGAAGCGGGAATAGTTGATGTGCAGAGGAGGCCTCCTCCTGGGGTGGTGGTGGGGGCCGGGAGGGGGTGTTGGGCAGGGCTGGACATGCATTGCTAATCTTCGTTTCCCCTCCATTCTCTTCCCCCCTCCTCCAGCCACCCCCCCCCCCCCCCCCCCGCGAGGTGTCGTGTGTCGTCCCGTCCCTCCCCCCCTGCCAGGGACTCACATGTAAGCCTTGTAGTTGGACCCGATTTTCTGGATGCGGATGTCGTACTTGGAGTCGATGAAGGCCTCGGTGGTGGCGTAGGTTCTGGCCATGGCCACCATGCTGGTGATGTCCTGGTAGTCATGCTGGTTTTCCACTTTGATCTGTGGGAGGCGAGAAGGTGAGTGCCACCCACCAGCGCTCATGCACGCCTACCCGACGCCAGGACCAGTGCTCCATGCAGAGTGACCTTGAGAAGGTAACCTGCCTGGCAGGGGACACAGCCGTGGGAACCAGTCACCCACTGCACCCCAGAGGAGGGAGGGAACTCCTTGGGGAGTCAAGGGAATCTCCCTAGAAGAGGTGAGCTGGCAGGTTTGGCAGGATGGATGTGGTTTCAGATGGACTACCCAGCGGGGTGCTCTGAGAGGCCTGAGGAAGGCAAAGCTGAGGCAGAGGAGCCGCATGGGGAGGTGGGAAGGGGTGAGCAATGGGATCAGACTGGCCGATGGGGCAGGAAGGTGGGGGACAGCTGAAGGGGGTCATCAGAGAACAGATCACAGATGGCCTGAACAGCTTAGTAAGGGGCTAGAATTTTCAGCCTGAAGGCTCTGGAAAGGCCCTGGGAGGAGTTTAAGCTAAAAAGTAGCCTAATTTGTGTTTTAGAAAAATTGTCCAGCAGTTGTACAGAGGGTTGAATGGAGGGGTGTGATAGGGGATAGAGAGAGACCAGTTAGAGAGAAGGAAGTGTGTATGTGTGTGTGGAGGGTGTGCACATGTGGATTGTGTGTGTGAAGACCTGGATGTGTAGTATGTGTGATGTGTGTTATGTGTTATATGTGTGGTGTGTTGTATGTGATGCTTGTGTATGCAGGCAGTGTGTGTGTGTGTGTGTGTGTATGCAGGCTGTGTGTGTATATGTAGGCAGTGTGTGTGTATGTGTGTGTATGTGTTTATGCAGTCAGTGTGTGTGTGTGTGTGTGTGTATATGTGTGTGTGTGTATGCAGGCAGTGTGTGTGTGTGTGTATGCAGGCTGTGTGTGTGTGTGTGTGTGTGTATGCAGGCAGTGTGTGTATATGTGTGTGTGTGTATGCAGGCTGTGTGTGTGTGTGTGTGTGTGTGTATGTAGGCAGTGTGTGTATGTGTGTGTATGCAGGCAGTGTGTATGTGTGTGTGTGTGTGTGTGTGTGTGTGTGTATGTCTGTGAGCGCCCATGCACTGGACAAGGCCAGCCCTGCTAAGGCCAAAAGCCTATGGGAGAAACTCACACTGTGTATGGGGCCAGGAACACAGCGTGGTGCCCTGGAGCTGAATCTCGCTCAGGCCCCGGGCAGCCAAGCGTCTCAGCCTTTGAGATATCCAGGCTGAGGATGTGATGCTTCCTGTGGACCACAGGTGGGCTGTGAGGGAGGGGGCAGCCTGGAGCCACTTACAATCCTGTGTGGAGGGAGCAGGGGCTGACAGAGAGATGCTGCCACCTCCACTGGTCCAAGCCACCAGCATCCCTCAGTGGACCAGGGCAACCATCTCCTTTTAACCTTCATCTCACCCAAGCCAAACGCCTCAGGCGGATTTCCCAAATCCCTGGGCGTGGACCAAGGTGTCCGTGTTTTTGGAAGCCCCCCAGGAGTGGTGTGCAGCCCAGGTTGAAAAGCATGACCTGTATCCTGTGGTTCCTGGTCACCTTTTACGCTCAGCCCACTTGGCCCTGCCTCAGTGCCTTTGTACCTGCTATTCCTTCCGCTTGGAACCATTTTCCTGAATCCCTTCCCATGGCCGCCTTTTTCCAGTCTCTACCCAGATGACCCCCAGCGGAGGCTTTTCCAACTATTGATATAAAGTAACTACTCTCCCTGCCCCCTTTGGAAAGGCTCTATGAATTATCCTGGCTTATTATTATTGCTCTTTTTCTTACAGTCTTTGACTATCTGAAGTTGCTGTTCATGCGCATATTCCCTCTCTCCTCCACTGAAATGTAAGCCAACATGATCAGGGACATCCTGTGACTAATAATGCAAATTCAAACCCCTGCTCCCTCACTTACTGGCTGTGTGACCTCAGGGAAGTTACTTAGCCTCTCTGTGTCTCACTTTCCTTTTTTTTTTTTTTTTAATGTATGTTTATTGATTTCAGAGAGGAAAAAAGAGAGAAACATTAATAATGAGAGAGAACCATTGATCGGCTGCCTCCTACACACCCCACACTGGGGACTGAGTCCGCAACCCAGGCAGGCCTGGGCCCTGACCAGGAATCGAAATGTGACCTCCTGGTTCATAGGTCGATGCTCAACCATTGAGCCATGCTGGCTGGGTTTCTCACATTCCTTATCAGCAAAATGTGGATAAGTTGTTGATATAAAGTAGCTACTTCATATCAAATGTGGATAACTTGCTGGGTTAGTGTTGAACATTGGATTACTGTTGAGCATTAAATGAAATAATACATATAAATGGCTTATCAGAACAATTGGCTCATCACAAGCACTTGATCAATGATAACTATTATTAATTGTTACCATTCCCTCTCATAACCTGAACACCCAGCATAGTGCTTGGTACATAGTTGGTACTCAGTAAATATTTGCTGAAAGAATGAATTCAGGTGCCAGTCATGGTAATAGCTGAGTGAAGAAAGTCTAGGCTAGTGGTTGGCAAACTGCGGTTCGTGAGCCACATGCAGCTCTTTGGCCCCTTGAGTGTGGCTCTTCCACAAAATACCACGTGCGGGTGCGCACATACAGTGCGATTGAAACTTGGTGGCCCATGCACAGAAATCGGTTTTCGGCTCTCAAAAGAAATTTCAATCATTGTCCTGTTGATATTTGGCTCTGTTGACTAATGAGTTTGCCGACCACTGGTCTAGGCAGAGGGAAAGGAGGTGCAGTGGCCCTGAGGGAGATGCTGGCCATACATTAACAGAAAACTGAGTTTTCACACCGTATGGAAGCTAAAGGCTGGTAGGAATTCATGCTCTTCCATCCAATCTCCCCTCGGATATGAACACAGGAAATGGGGTCAAGATCCTTCCCAGATAATGGTTTGAAATTAATCTCAACCCAGAAACACATGAGCAACGGAGTGAAGTCCACTGCCTTACATTAATCGCCTGGAAAACATTCCGGCCAAGTGTGGCCAGCATCTCACCCCGTCCAGATCCGTCTCCGTCAGATTCCCACAGAAGGCCAAGTTCAGAGCATGCCCCTTCCCAGTGGGACAGCCCAGACAAAGTTGTTTTTCCCCCACAAAGATAACTGCATGAGGCAATTTACTGAACCAGGTTATTTACGGATAAGCTAATAGCTGAGTGGCTATCTACCAACAACAATAACCATAGCCTTAGAACACTTGCTCTGCGGTCTCTCTTTCTGGCAAGAACTAGCCGGCAGGGCCAGCTGTGAGGTTCAGGCCCCTCCTAGTTCAAGATGATAAAACCATGACCTTGGCGCACAAATGGATGCTTTCTGTTTTTATAGCAGGAAGATGCGCATCCAGCTCATTCCAAAGTGGTATCTGTTCATGAAAACCTAGTGAGATGGGGCAAGAGGGACAGGCTACGTATGTTCTATCTCCGAAGGTTCTCACCAGTCTTGCAGCTCCCAGCCTCTCAGGCTGTTTAGTTTAGAATGGCTCCCTGAGCTCAGCATTGAAAGCTGAGAAGAGCTGGGCCTGTGTGGCTCAGTGGTTGAGCGTCAGTCTATGAATCAGGAGGTCACGGTGTCATCCCCAGTCAGGGCACATGCCCAGGTTTGCAGGAGTGATCCCTAGTGTGGGGCGTGCGGGAGGCAGTTGGTCTCTCTCATTATTGATTGAAAGAATGAATACAGGGACAGTCATGGTAATAGCTGAGTGAAGAGAGTCTAGGCAGAGGGAAAGAAGTTGCAGTGGCCCTTGGGGTGATGCTGCCTCTCCCCTCCTCTCTCCCTCTTCCCTCTCCCCTCCTCTCTGAAATCAATTTAAAAAATATATAGGCTGAGAAGAAGTAAATGGAAGTTGCTAATAACCTAATAATGTAGACGTTCCCAGCCTTTCTGGGTTCACAGTTCCCATCTCCAGAATTATCTCATGGCATTTCTAGGCCAAGAGAAATACCAAGCACTTCCATTTACTAAGTAGTCAGAGCTAAATTGCTGGATAAATATTTATTTTAGGACAACTTGGTAATTACTTGAAAAAAAATGCACATCATGTTTTCATTTAATTTTAAATAACGACAATTACTTACTAATGGAATGTGTGTGCTTGGTGGGCACTGCACAAGTTCTCAAGCCACAGACTCAGCCGGACCCCATGACCTGCATTTCCTAGCGCCCGCCGATTGGCATATGGCACTTGCTTTTCTGCACAACCAGCACCCGAGTCCCAGCTTTGCCAAGATGCAGCGCCGTGGAAAGGAGCATGAGTACCCAAGGCTGACATGGGGAGCTACCTCAGCGAGCGGTCTGCATGCCTCACAGGTGTCGAGAGCTGCTTTTTCTCTTGAAAATTTATAATATACTGTGGTGCAGGGTTTGGGAACCAGGGACCTAGTGTTATGACTCCCAAAACCCTCCCCTAGCAGTTAAGAACAGGAGTCTCTGGGCAACATCCCTGGGAGAAAGCCTACCTGGTTCTCATGGCAATCATAGGTCTGAGAAACCCCCGGGGGGCCGAGTATCCAATAAACCAGTCTAGAGGTTCAACCAGTACACGCTTGAGGAAAATTTGATTTCACTCATATGTGGAATGTAATGAACAAATTGAAATACCAAGCAAAACAGAGACAGACTCCTGGATAGAGAGCAGGCAGGCAGCTCTGGAGGTATTAGGGTGTGTGTGTGTGTGTGTGTGTGTGTGTGTAGGGATTGAGCAAAAGAGAAAAAAGAGAGAACTCATGGACACAGGGGGTGGAGGAGGGTTGATGCAGAGGGGAAAGGACATAGAGGGGATAAAGGTGATGGGAAAAAAAAAATCTCTATATATAAAAGCCCAGCGCCTGGACCCGTGGAATGACCAGAACGAACGGTGGCTATGATGTGCATTGTGGCAGCCAACCATCCTGATCTGGCCCCCAGTCAGCCTCTTAACACTCCAATCAGGGGCAGGACCAGCTGACCAACCATCCGGGGACCTTCCCCCTGGCTGGCCCCACCCCCAATCAGCCCCCAACACCCTGATCAGGAGGGGG